TGCTCATCTCTTGGAAATTTCGTGATGGCCCTTCTCTGGATTACGTGAAAATTGGAAATGAAAGGATTTACTTATCTGGTAAAGCCACAAGCTTAACAGTGAGATAAAAGGAAAACTAATTTGACACAGTCCGTTCCAAAAACTAGGGTTTAATATGCACGGATGGTTACTAAATTAGTTATTATCATCCAACAGCATGAAAAAAGCAATCGTAATCTTGATTTTATCTAAAACCTGAAAAAGAAGAATTTATCAAATGTTCCAGCCAGAAACAAACTTAGATTAGCCATTTGATATGATAAACAATTAGAAATTATCGTTAAAAAAGGTTTTAGATAAAATAAAAAAATAGAGCCCCAACTAGGACCCAAGTAGAAAGCAGGCTTTATTAAGTCAAGTCTATAAATAATATTAATGATATTCAACATATGTATACTACGACGAAGACGAAAAAACACAACATCCATAAATTTTTTAAATTAATTGGGTCTGTTTTATCCTATTGGTCTAAGCGTTTCCAATACTGAGTCTGTTTATTTGGTGGTGGGGGACCCCAGATGGGTGACGTAACATGTGGCGGGTCACTCACCTATCTTGCAAACCTGATCAAATTAAAATGAGAGATTATTCCTAACGGAGCGAGGTTTATTATCTCGTCGCCTGCGAAAAGCGTGCACCGCTCGTGACTCCCACGAGGATCGCAAGGCCTAGCAAGCGTGATCGTCTCTTTGCTATAAATCTATCTAGTTTGGTTGCTTGTCCGCCTTGACGTCATTGCATTGTTGGTTTTCAGGGAACCAATAAGCTTGGCTACGCCATTTAAAATACCTCAGTTATAAAATACTTAAGTTCAAAAAAGAGTTTTCAAACATCAGCGAAAACGCCTAATTTGTGTATTCTTTATTTCGTAATTGGCCATTATAACTGAGGAAATGGATAAAAATGAAAGTAACGGCTATAATGGCTGAAGAAAATCGTTCGTTATACCGAGGATTTCGTTATGTAGAGGTTCATTAAATCGAGGTTCCACTGGATACTGTTAAATAATTTATTAACCAACTCTTTTTGTACAAGGCTAGTTTTCAGAGGTTTACATGTGACTCCAATAATGTAGCTTTTGATTGGTCATACCTTTGATGAATAATTAATGAATTTACAAGTCGCGGTAAAACAAGAGCTGTGTAGTTATTGGACGCTTTAGTCAAAAACTTTTCAGTAGATCTGTTTAGTATTTCCTAAGAGAATTTTAGATACGGTACAGTTGTGTTTTCTCAGATCAAAACAAAAAGGGAAGGTTTGATGAGAAATCTTTATTTGAATATATATAATATATGCGACTGTTTTATAAGTCATTAGAGGAAAAAATTATATCCATATGTGTGGTAGTAATCACACCCCTGCACATCCACATAAATCGGTTCCGTTGAATATTCGATTCCTTTGTCTTGCACAGGTGCGTGCATAAATTATGTGTGTCATGTCTAGGTAGTCTTGGTATAGCTAATGAAAAGTGTTTATTTTATTTTTACAATTCATTTTTGACTGATTCTAAAGCAGGCTTGTTTTGTTTCTGCCTCACTTAATATTACTTGTTCGTAACGCGGAAATCAAACTTGAATTTTTTCCGCCGAAGAACAAGCTGGCAGCAGTTCATTTTTTTGGTTAGTTACTAATAGTTATTTGCTAAAGTATATTTTTAACTCTTGAGGTTGATAAGATATTTAACATATGTTATTTCTTTAACTCACTATCAATTCGGTTCATCCGTCGTCACTAGGTCCCTAGTTTTTTTTCGTTTTTTTTTTTTGTGGTTTCCTGGTTTTCACTTCTTCGCTTCTTTTTTTGTGCTATTTTTAAACCATTTTCTGAGAAAACAAGGTGTTGACAAATACAAATTTTTACCAACTATTTCTGTAAATGTATATTGACAGCACTAATTATTAGCATATTTTATTAAAAACTGACACAAAGGAACCTGCAAAAATAACCACACGTCTAGTTTCCTCTCCTCGAGATAGCCTACGTGTAGCTGCACCTTCCCTCCTCTCTCCGTTTTTCCTTTGTCACGTTCGAGTTTCATATAACATGAGTAAGTATAGAGAACATATGGAGCGAAGTTTAGGTCTGGAAATTTGCTAGAAAATAAAATCGGTGAGACTTACTACGTAGCGAGTTGTTGTTGCCCTTAATGCACACGAAGTTTCGGGAAAAATAGTCTCCTGGAGACTATTTTTCGCGAAACTTCGCGTGCATACTGAGGAAAACAACTACTCGCCACATGGTGAGGTTCATCGATTTTTATTTCCATTTTCTAGCAAATTTCCAGACCTAAACTTCGCTCCAAATGTTCTCTATACTTACTCATGTTATATGAAACTCGTACGTGACACAAATAGTGAGCCTGCGTTGCCTGTGGTACTTACTACCTACCGTAGTACTAAACACGGCTTAAAATGAAATTTTACCTATACTGTGAATTCAAATAGCTACACCACAAACATGAAATTGTTTTTAACAACCACTCAAAATTCATTTTCTGACTCAGGTTCATGCGGGAGTTCACGCATGATGTGCTTGAATTTTATATATATGCTTTTTTTCCTGATCATGAGGGCCATTTATACGAGAAAAAATAAGACGCGTCTTACATAGGAAGCGTCTTAAATAAGACGCGAACTTTCCGTATAAACGGCACATTTCGTCTACAATAAGACGCGGCTTAACCAAGACGCGTCTTATTTTAGAACAGCCTTTAACACCTGCTCTTAGATAAGACGCGTCTTAGCTAAGACCAGAAAAACTTCGTTTAAATGGCCTTCGCGTCTTATATAGGACGCGAACGCATAGTACGCATGCGTTAATTTTTGGCGCGCCACGTTGGATTGCCGTTGCTAGTGGCAACATTCACATGAAAAGGAGTCAAGAACAGAAATAAGACGCGAACCATTTATACGAGCTGTTCTCCTATAGGATAAGACATGCTCGTATAAATGGTACAGTTCGCGTCTTCTGTAAGACGCGTCTTATTTTTCCTCGTATAAATGGTGCTAATGTTTCTCTATTTTTTTTTAGCGTCATATCAGAACTAAAGGGGAAATTTATACTCGATTTCAGTTCGTTTCGTCTAAGTTGAACAGGTCTTAGCATCAGTAAGCACGAGGCCGTTGGTTTATTTTTGCTATTTCCTCTTTTTTAGTGAGTACATCCATATCCCTAATCACTACTCACTAGTGTTCGAATGTATTTCTCATTTTCTTATTTTACAAAATCTATGATTTTATCTGGAGGCAAAATGAAACCTGTAAAACTGAGGTAAGATTCTCAGAAATATTTAACAGCTATTGCCGTGAATTAAAATGAATTCAACGATGATCCTAATTAAATAAACAGCAAAAAGTCGCTCATCTTTATAGACTAGCTCGTTGAATTTAGTTGTTCCATATCTTGATGAAAGGAATAAAACAAAAGAAATGTATTATTCATTACTGTGCCTCACGATGATTTCTTTTGTTTTATTCCCCCAAGCCTCTTGGCCAAGTATAAATTTTGATATATCGGAATTGGTTTATTGCGTTGGACCAACTACTTTCTCTCCGCTTACACATTTGAGATACGATGCCATAGAAACTAAGTTTCGTTTAATCGTAGTTTTATCATGTATTCGGTTGTTTCAGGGATTTCTGGTGCCAGTTTATTTCTGGCAAGTGGGAGATTTATGGCCATGAAAATTTGTGTAATAATAGTTGTAAAATTTCTAATTTGTTTTAATATCCACCTCATTGTTCGAAATCATCAGATTCGAAATCAGCATCAACAATCTGATCAAACGGCCGACACTTTTATCATAAGAAGACTTAAGAAGTCAGCCTTCAACACTTTTCTTGTATTTATATTCCTTCTTATTTGTAGCTGGCCTTTTCTTTATGTTTATTTTAACCACGGGTAATCGGCTCCTACAAAGGGGTATCGAATGCAGTTCTTTACATCGCTTTATATTCTTGATTTCTCTTAACGCATCTTTCAATCCCTTTCTGTATTCCTAAAGAATTCGCAGAATTCGTTCATCCACAAAACAAATTTTCTGCCGTTCGTAAATAAAATATAGCACGCTAGTGACCATTCTGTTTTCACAGAATTTCATCCATTTGACGGAGGAATACATAACTATATAAACTCTGGAACAGTCGATCTCTTAAATTAAGGATGGACAAATCTGTTGACCATTTCAAAAAAAACTTGTCTTTTTTGAAAGTCTTTTTCTTTGATAATTAAGTTTACAAACTGCCTATTCACTGTGCATGATGAAAACTGTATAATACAATTTTTTTTTTTGCTTAATACAATTATGATGTTGATGATGATGATGATTTTAATTGTTATGATGATGATGTATCGATTATTTTTATTACTATTGTCAATGACGCTACAGCATTCTGTGACGAGTGCCAAGCGTGCATTGTTGTATTTGATATTAAGATAAGGGTTATGTAATGTATCAAGGCGAATATTTGATAAGCAGGATATTTACGTTACTTCTTGTCTCATTGAAGAGAGCCTATTTCCCTCGTTTTGCTGTCTCTCACAAGTGTTTCATGGTGTCAGGAATATTGTAGCAAACCTACGTGTTTTACTTTTTATTTGCGATGCCGGGAGGCGAAGGGGCCGGTGCATTGCCGAATTCGTCTGCAGATACGTCGAATGTTAGAGGTGCTTTGTTTGCAGCGTACTGTCAGCCACTTTAAAATGCGCCTTTTGAAAGATATAGGTTTTAATCTAGAATGCAAGAATCGGGAGAGTCTTACGATCACTATCGGACAGCTCTTCGACAGTTAGCGGAAAGGTGCAAATTCGAATCGACTACCCCCATTCAGATTTTACGTGAAAAGCTCGTGTTTGAAATTCGCGATTCAAAAGTTCGTGAGAGGGTTCTTCATGAGAAGAATTTGTCGTTGGAGAAAACTAATGAGATTTGTCATTCTCAAGAGACCATGGTACAGCAG